GTAACTAACTAATGAAAATGAATTTATATATCATTGTATTTATTTTTCTTTCAATTATTATACTTTTTGAATCTATCCTAGATGTTTTCAATTATTTATAATTTTTAGTCTTCAACAAATTAATAGTCTATTAATAGTAAGATGTGACTTTTTATTGGTGGTAAAACTTAAACTAACTAATAAAAATGAATTTATTAATTATTATGCTTATTATTTCTTTTATTTTAGTAAGAAATGAACAAAAAGTCAAAAATAAAAATAAATCACGTTTTTTTATCATAGCAACAAAAAAAAATGTTTTGTAAAGTCTCAAAATGTGGCTGTAGAAAAAAATGAACAAAAAAACAGTTTTTTTTTAAAGTGGGCTTTAGTGGCTTTACAAATCTCTAAAGCCTTAAAAAAAATGATTGGCAAATATTTGGCTTTAGTGGCTTTACACAACCACAAAGCCCTCAAAGCCCATACACCAATCAGACTCTTGATTGTATTTAAGGCCCATTATTGTTGTTTAAAAGCCCAATAACCTGTTATAATAAAGCTCGTTAAATTTAATAACTTCTCACTCAAGAGCAAAATTTGTGGGTCTTATATAAACCATACTGTGGATTGTCATAAACCACTTTCATTTTCCATGTGAGATTATGATTTTTACTATTTCCTTTACCTTATTGGTTTAGGATTTGTACTCTTTCCATTTATATATATCTTGTAATCTCATATATAAGGGCACCTATGTTTATGATCAATTATACAACATAACTATTCCCTATACTTTTACAACACGTTATCAACACGAAATTGTAAAACCCTGAGCCACCAAAAATCATCAGACCAAAATTCTAAAAACCCTAATCTAAATCGATAGCCGCCCACAAGCTTTGATCATCCGGAAATCCTAATCTTACCGGACAACCGTCTAGCACATACCGCATACGTCCGATTCAATCTCAGCAAGTCCACCCGATATATTGTAAGTTCCGATCTTGCGGCCCGTACTCAGCTTTTCCTAGTCCGCGACCTTTAATCAAGAAGTTCCAGCTTGAGATCCTTCTCTCTTGTTCGAAACCCTAATGATAACCGAAACCCTAATATCGATAAACCCTAATGATAACCGAAACCCTAATATCGATAAACCCTAATGATAACCGAAACCCTAATATCGATAAACCCTAAAATCACTAGACTTAATTATATGCTAGAGCCAAACTAGTCCGATACTAAGAACCGAACCATACTAGAACTTGGATGATAAGCTTGCTAGATTTATTGATTGATTGATTCGTTTTGAATGTCTTGGGATAGAAACCACATGCTAGGTTAATTGTTCTCACACGTTTTAAAACTTGATCAAATCCGACCAGCATATTTATAAAACCCTAACTGAATTTGTACATGATCCGTTTGATTGATCTTATTAAATGTCTTGAGAGTTAGGATGCTAGATTGATTGATTCACATAATATGTTTTAAATTTGAAACCCTAAATTGAAACCTAATGATAAAATCTAAAACCCTAATCGAAACCTGATGTTTCGAATCCCTAAAATTGAGTCCCTAAATCAAAACCCTAAACCGCATGTATGCATAATGCATACGATGCATGAAACCTTGAAACCCTAAATCGTTTTTTTATTGCTTCGATTTATTGATTGCCTTTAAGGATAGAGATTGTTTGTCTTGATTGGCCCGAACTTAAACCCTAATATGCTAGATCCGTTTTGGAACCCTAAATCCTAATCACATATTGCAATGGATTGATCTTATTAAATGATTGTTTTGATAGCTAGGGTTGTTTACTAGATTTATTATTTTTCATGATTGAAACCCTATTTTTGGATCGAAACCCTAAAACCCTAATATGTGCATTGCATACTATTAATCCGAATGAATGCTTTAATTAATTGATCCAAATTGAGTGTTTTTGAGGTTTAATATTGCTTGCTAGATTGATATATCAGAATGCTAGTCTCATGACTGAAATCGATACTAAACACTAAACTGAATATGGACGCATGGTTAACTGTCTTGATTAAGACCACATGATTTTTTCATGATCTTCGCATAAATTGATAAGATTGTTGCGAGATTATATGGTTCCACCCCTATACATTTTAGAATCTGTACTGCTAGGCTTGTTTTCATCATTCATATGTACATCACGTAATGCTAAGATTGACTTGCATTATATACCACCTTGGCCACATGAAAACATATAGACATTGATCGTATGCTACGCTTGTTTGAATTATATCACTGTGGCTTGTTTACATATAGAAATTGCGTCAGGATTACAATGTTTACATGTTAATATGGACGCATGAATTTTATTTTCTATGAGACCTAAAATTGAGTGATATACGATTTCAGATGTCGAAAATCAATAATTTGGACTTTACAGGCCTAAAATAATTATTTACCATGGACATTAGACAAAAAGATTGTCATGAAATCAAAGGGCCACGGTGAATGTATCATCGAGGACAATAATGCAATTGAAAGAAATAGATACAAGGCAATACTGATTATTCGCCATCATCTTGTTGAGAGTCTCAAGAATCAGTATTTAAGTGATTATGGTATGTCCATGGGGGTAAGTGTGGAAAATTCCGTGAATACATGTCCATACTCAGAATCTTTTAAACGCATAAAGCTGATTATTGGACCATTACTTAAGAGGTCAAAACTCCCAGTCACAGCTTGGGCCACATGAAATTTACATGCATCTAAGTTAATACGCATCAAGCTATCTAGTGAGCATAGGTATTCCCCATCATGAATATTAACGGGTCAAAGAGCCAGACATATCCCATCGTAAAACTTTTGGATGTGCCGTCTATATACTAATTGCTCCACCACAGAGAACTAAGATAGGACCTCAAAGGAGGATGGGGATATATGTTGGATATGAATCTCCCACGATAATAAAATAACTAGAGCCGACTATTGGGTGATCTATTTTAAGGCCATGGACATGGATTGCAAGTTTAATGAATCCGACTATCCAACATTAGGGGGAGAAAATAATACGATGGTAAAAAGAATAAAATGGAATCAACCATCATTGTCTTGGCAAGATCCTCAGACTAAAGAATATGAATTAGACGTCCAAAAGATTATACATTTACAAAAGCCAGCTAATCAAATGCCAGACACATTTTCTGACCCGAAAAGAATGACTAAGTCATATATACCAGCTTAAAATGCACCAAATTCGAATTTGACACATAGTCATATATACCGGTTAGAGAACTTTCTCTCTTGTTTCCTTCGTTCTCTGTTGTTTTCTTCCCGGTTATAATTTCTATGGATTAAAGGAGTCCATTTAGTCATCAGTCTTCTAGTTATGTAGGGCTCCTTAATAGTCAAAACGTTCCTCATGAAAGTTTCCCTTCCTCATCCGAAATCCCTGCTTTCAATTCACAACAACCCGAGGCTCCACCACTCCCTCAAGACCCAGCAGTGGCCGTAAGGGGAGAAAGAAATGGAGCCCTGCAGATGATGAGGTCTTAATCAGTGCCTTGCTAAACACATCTAAGGATGCTATAGTTGGAAATGAACAAAAGGGAGGGACGTTTTGGAAATGAGTAGGAGAGTACTACGCAGCTTCCCCTCATTTTTGGATAGGGCTGGGCAAAATATCCGGACCCGAAGAACCGACCCGAAACCGACCCGAAAATCAGGGTCCCGAACCCGATCGGACCCGGGCTAAATAACCGAATGGGTCCTAAATTGCTATATTCGAAGAACCGGTACCGAACCCGACCCGAACCGAGAACCGAATGAGTACCCGAAATATCCGAAATGTAAATATGTATATGAAAAATTATTTATAATTATACTTATAATTATTTTAATAATTTAAAATTAAAATTATAAATTAAATTTGTTAGTTATTTTGAATATTTTTAGATAAAATATTATATTTTTGATATAAAATACCCAAACAAAATTGTCTCTAACGAGTATTTTTGGTTATATCAAGGTAAAATAGGTAGTTTGGATACAAAATATCCGAATCATATCGGGTAATATGGTTACTTTGGGTACAAATAACCGAACCCATTTCAGATACTTTGGTTATTTGG